CACCCACACCCATACCCACACCACACCCACACCCGCACCCATACCCACACCACACCCACACCCGCACCCACTACACCCACACCCACACCCTTAGAATCCTGACGCTGTGGTTAACTGTGGATAAATCTTACTATACCCACGCCCATACCCACACTCACACACTAATTACTGCATCGAAATAATGATTTATTTTATTAATTTAGATGTTTCATGTCAATCATTCACTTATAGTTCATACAAACCATATTCGACTGGAAATCACCCATGGTCAATTAGTATTGCTGATATAGATAATAATAACAAGAATGATATAATTGTTCTAAATGCACTTGATGCAAATTTTGGAATCTATTTTAATCAAGGAAATGGAATATTTCAAACACCGACAATGTTTCAAACTGCTAGCTACCCTGTATTTGTCGGAAGTGCTGATTTAAATAATGATAATAAGTTAGATTTAATCGTAGCTCAAGCTAGTGATAATAGTATTGGTTTATTTCTTGGTCTCGGTAATAGAAGTTTCAGCTTACCTATGAATATTCCAGTTGGTCTTTATCCATATGGAATTGGTATTGGTGATTTCAATAAGGATGATAATCTAGACCTTGTCGTTGTTAATGATCATGACAATACTGCTAGTGTTTTATTTGGATATAGTAATGGAAGTTTTAAAAGTGCCAGCACTTTATCAACAGGTAGTTATGTAACAGCAGTAGCTGTTGCTGACTTTAATAGTGATAGTTATGCAGATTTTGTTACAACTGATTATTCTAGTAATACAGTTAGTTTATTTATTAATTATGGTAATGGAAGTTTTCGAAAACGTATTGCTTATAGAACAGGAACTTCCCCGTGGGGAATAGCTGTTACAGATTTCAATCACGATAACTACATAGATGTTGTTGCTGTTAATTATGACAGTAATACAATGAGTGTTTTGTTAGGGAATGGAAATGGAACACTTCGATCACAAATATCCTATTCAACTGGGCAAAATCCGATGGGTATAGCTGTAGCTGATTTAAATAATGATACACACATCGATATTGTTGTTGCTAATAGTGGCAGTAATTACTTAAGTATCTTTCTTGGGTATGGTAATGGTAGTTTTACAACAGCTACAAGTTTACCAACAGATTCGTCAGTAACAGCAGTGGCTATTGCTGATTTAAATGGTGACGGTCGATTAGATATAGCTGCAACCACTCAAAACAATAAAACTTTAAATATACTTTTCAACATATGCTGATTTCATAAGATTTAATTTGTATTCGCTTCAGTTTAAATTTAAACAATATTTCTAATGCACTGTTACTTATTATATTTCATTTTGCTTTAAAATACTAATGCACTATTACTTATTATATTTCATTTTGCTTTAAAATAAAGAATTTAAATTAAAATTTTTGTTTTGAATAATCTCAACGTTTGTTCAAAAACTCAGTATTTTCCTGCAGAGAAGTAGATAAACAGGCAATGCTGAAGTATTCAGATATTATTATGACGTATCTTTAGTACGAGTGGATATGAATGAGGGTGAGATATCTCTGCTTCATGCCATCACACCGTCATCTACATCCGCATTCACCGACACCCATCCACCCCACACCCACACCCACACTCACACCCACACCCTCGCCCACCCCACACACATCCCACACCCTCAAGGTGGTTTTAACCGTTATCTAACACCAGATGGAAAGAGGACAAAATCGAAGTGATTCATTCTTCATTACACTTAACAAATGTGATGGGACGAAAACCGACTTAGGTGACTGGCTAAAACTTGAAGAAAACCTAGTCGACGAACTGTGCATCAGCGAAGAGAATTACGAACCACCAATAGTTCCAGAAACACATACACCAACATCCACGGCTGACAAAAATCACCACATCTATCTCAAAACAAGAAATGGGCTCTACTTTGACGAACTGTCTACCATCATCGACATCTTTACGGGAGAAACAAATAGGAGTCAAAATATACAACAATGCAAATCTAAGAAGGCAACACTCTTGTACATCGCAAAATACGAGAAGGCACCATACCTTCACAACGTCAGGGTGTTCAAATGCAGTCTTTACTCCAGGGCGTGGCACCATGCCGTCACGACGTTCAAGGCAAATGAACCAATCCAACAAGCCCATCCATTTATCGTGGGTTGTGGAATCGCAAACAAAGGATTTATATTAAACATTATACAAGAACACATGCAGCACAACACATAACAAACTTAAAACTAGCTGCAGGTCCCGTACCACCAATCAACAACAGGTGCCAATTTACTGAAGATGTCACTGACAGTGTAACAAGGATGCAAAATATATATATAGAACGAGCCCCAGGCCACGGCAAAACTGAAATGATTGATACAGTAATAAAAGGTAAGCGTACATACAAATTCGGATCATATAGCAACTTCTTATTTGGGGGCCTCACTGCTGATATCGAAATCATATAGTTCGAAGACTTCGTCTATGAATTATACAAGTCAAACATAGAAACTATAATCTCATTAATGGATAGAAAAGAAACAACAGTTTTAGAAAAAGGCAGAAATGATAAAACAATATACTACACTGGCCAAGTTATATTCATTTCAAACTATCCAATTCCTTTAGGAGAAGAAAGATTCAAACGTCGAATTCAACATCATTACATAAATCACAAGATCCATGAATGTACATATTACCGACCAGACTACAATCCAGTCGACGATTTATTTACAAACAATGATTTCACAATAGACTTAGGCGCCGAAAACGCACACTTTCTTGAAGAATAGTTTTTTTCTGTTAATTTATTTGATCTGAATAAAGGGTATTAGTTAAAAGATCCACAACTATAGCACCTTTAATTTGTATTTGAATTTGCGCATTGCTCGCAGTAGTAGTAAAACTATTATAATTAGCATAGTCTAATCAATAAACATATGAGTGAATTGCAACTTTTTGGTACAATTGGTGCGAAAAACTGAAAGTAGACCTAGACAATTTCTGATCAGTGCATTTTGTTATACTCTATGCCTGTGCTACACAGTAAAAATTTCCCAACACTTTACCGCATATTAACTGAGATACGACTTACTCAATGTAAATGTACCATAAAAAGCGTTATTTTATTGAAAAACGTCACTCTACATTTTTCAGTATCATGTAAATTTCTCGAGAAGGGTACGAGATCCAAGGCTGAATTTTTTACCACTTATAGAACTTTTTGTTTTATACATTCTCTAAAAACTTGAGCTAAATCTAACGACCCATTCGAGAGTTATAAATCAGACAATTTTCAAATCGTCACTCTACAAAGTGAGTAAACGTCTTTTTTTTAGGAAGTTTGTTTTTTTTTGTTTGAAATAAACTTGATAAAAGAGAACCTTTTCACATCAGTTTTCTAGTTGAAGTGTTGGCTTTCTTTTTATATCATCCGCGCGCTGCCATCTCTATCATACGCCGAGCTAGAACCGTGTTTCCGTCACTCTACATAAAAACGAACAAGTGTCTGTTAAACAATGTGACCAGTAGATGAACGAACCAATGAAAATTCAAACTAAAATTAGTTACATTTTTCGACAGAACGTCAAAAACTGTACAAAATAGATTAATTATCTCTTTTTCCTCTTGCCTCTTTATAGTCGAAAAATTTCCTTTTCTTAGCATATTTCATGAAAAAATGACATTTTTTTCATCATAAATTTTTTATAACTCAGCAATAACATGAGCTACTGAGCTGAAATTTTGCACGGCAGTGAGGTGTTCAAAGCACTATAACATATCAAAAAATCGTTGAAATCGGTTGGCGCAAACTGGAGTTATTAGCGAAATACATCGAAAATCTAATTGTACCAAAAAGTTGCAATTCACTCATATATAGATCCAGGTGCTTGATTCAAATCAGTATTGAAAGTAGAAACCATAATAGATGAAGACTTAATCGACTTACAAGCCAAACGACGACTATAAAGGGCTTTAGGCAGATGATAAAACATACGAACTGGACGACCACAAATAGCCAGAGGACGAACAGTAGGCAACATAGCAATAGCAGATGGTTTAGAAAAATTAGAAATAACAGCACTAACGAGGGAAGGCCACCAACTGTCCCCTCGCTTTTGGGCTGAAACTCAGTTGACGATAGGTAATCGAGTGTGCTGATTTCGAATATCACAATGATTTTTGCCCGCTTTCGATTTAAAGACCCGTTTTCTAAAGAACTTGGTTGTTCAACCTTAAAACCATTTGCACTAAAAAAATTTTTTGACTTATCAAAATGGAAGAAGACATCATTAAACCTACAGAACGCGACTTTTCAAGGTTCTAAGCGAAGTTTTGAGCGTTTTGTCTGCGTCTAAAACTTAAAAAAGAACAGAAGTAAAAACAGTAGTTTTTCATAAATTGTGTAAGAATGTTGGCAGTTTTTTCCTCTTTTCTTTAAGTTTTAGACGCAGACAAAACGCTCAAAACTTCGCTTAGAACCTTGAAAAGTCGCGTTCTGTAGGTTTAATGATGTCTTCTTCCATTTTGATAAGTCAAAAAATTTTTTTAGTGCAAATGGTTTTAAGGTTGAACAACCAAGTTCTTTAGAAAACGGGTCTTTAAATCGAAAGCGGGCAAAAATCATTGTGATATTCGAAATCAGCACACTCGATTACCTATCGTCAACTGAGTTTCAGCCCAAAAGCGAGGGGACAGTTGGTGGCCTTCCCTCGTAAGACCAGATCTATCCCAAAAAACTTAAATATTGAGCTCATACATAGCATGATCAGAAGGCTCCACAGAAGTATTGCCAGTACCTTGAACATTAGGACGCACAAAATTCAAAGTAGACATAACGGTTAACTCAACAACAAGACCAAGAGAAGTCATATAATGCCATTTATTAGTAATATTAAAAATATCCTCCGTACTAATAAAATTAGCCGAGGTCGAAGCATAACCTCGAAAAACCAGAACCCGTAGAGACACCATTATTAAGAGTAACAGCCTGCCAACTAGAAAACGCTTTCCGTTCATAATTACGGGTGAAAAACTTCATATCATGACGATGACGAGCAAAGATCTTGAATGTGGGTGTGGCTGGATGGGGATGAGTGTGTGTGCGGTGTGTGTGTAGGTGTGGGTGTGAAGGCATGAAGCAGAGATATCTCACCCTCATTCATATCCACTCGTACTAAAGATACGTCATAATAATATCTGAATACTTCAGCATTGTCTGTTTATCTACTTCTCTGCAGGAAAATACTGAGTTTTTGAACAAACATTGAGATTATTCAAAACAAAAATTTTAATTTAAATTCTTTATTTTAAAGCAAAATGAAATATAATAAGTAACAGTGCATTAGAAATATTGTTTAAATTTAAACTGAAGCGAATACAAATTAAATCTTATGAAATCAGCATATGTTGAAAAGTATATCCAAAATTTTATTGTTTTGAGCAGTTGCAGCTATATCTAGTCGACCATCACCATTTAAATCAGCAATAGCCACTGCTGTTACTGACGAATCTGTTGGTAAACTTGTAGCTGTTGTAAAACTACCATTACCATACCCACGAAAAACACTTAAGTAATTACTACCATTATTAGCAACAACAATATCGATGTGTGTATCATTATTTAAATCAGCTACAGCTATACCCATCGGATTTTGCCCAGTTGAATAGGATATTTGTGATCGAAGTGTTCCATTTCCATTCCCTAACAAAACACTCATTGTATTACTGTCATAATTAACAGCAACAACATCTATGTAGTTATCGTGATTGAAATCTGCAACAGCT